ATGCAATCAACTGGTTTTCCTTAGATAGAAAACTTTGAAGATGACATGTGTTGTGAATTGGCTCTATATAAATAAATAAATCTAATTGCATTTCATAACATTACATTTTCTAGGTTTATTTATTTGTTGTCGGTTGACTAAGGGTTGTTACAGCCAGACGTTGTAATTGCACAATCAGACCAGCAGAGGGCAACATAAACAAACTATTGCAGAAATGCTGACAGCTGTATGCTGATACCTTTATCTCTACCCACAAAATAACTGTCAAAACTCAGAGGAGAGCAAACAGCATTAGTTAAGTAATTATAAAGGACATTACAAGCTAATTTTGATCGTAAACATACTTTGTAATGACTGCGGGGAAACTTTGTTTCTTGTATCAGTCGTTACTAAATAAACTTCTGAGAAATCCTGTTTACTGCAACATTTTCACTGGATTGAATTATGTTTTCTAATTTATATAGCCAACAATTTTATATATATATCCGTGTGTGTGTATGTTCAGCTCCTAAATGCTTAAATTCATCTGAGTTCCTCCAGACAGCTTTAATAATTTATCACCTCCTAAGAGAAACATTAAAACCTACCCCCTGTAAAGGCTGGATTTTAAAGGTTTATGTAAATATTAAAGAATAAGAAAATAAAATGTATTTGTGGGTTTTCAATGTTTTACCAGAACATTGTTTCAATGGTAGAATCAGAACATAACTTTTAATAACGATGCATAGGTCCAAAAGGTTGATTTTAGCATTGTGTGACTTTTCGGAAATAAAGTGAGAACTAAAGACTCTTCCAAATATCTCCACTGATACACGCATTAAAATGCCCGTACAGAGAGAGCATAGGCTTAGTAGCATTCAAGATTCAAGAGTTCCTACAATCAAAGTTTTAACCATCTTATAGATCTATTAGTAGGGAAGCGGCTGTTCCAACCGTTGCATTTCCAATTTCCCCCGAGTGGTGCCCAACTTTACACGAGTGAATAAAGTGAATGTGATTGGTCGATTATCAAGGGGGCGGGATTGTTGTGGCGGAAGATTCATAAGCAAGTTTGATGTCGGAAGCATCTTGCTAACCAGTTAGCAACTTAGTGCTAGTAGGTTCCCAATGGGAAATTCCTTTGGGACCAAGTAGCACTAAATTGGTGACTTAGAAACGACACTGTCAAGGAACGCTATGGACAGAGGAAACATGCAAAGAGGAGGAGAGTTTAGTGTCGGAGGTCGTGGATGAGTCTCCTCCATTATACATTTTTTATTTAGAGGAGGAAAGCGGGGACGAAGATGTTGTGGAAGAGGACGCCAGGGCAGCAGAAGCTTGGTTTGGTGTAGAAGGCTTACAGCTAGGGGTGTAAATCACATCCATCATGGTGATTCGATTCAGTATCGATTTCCTGACCCAATGATTCGATTATTTTCGATACTCAAGAATACAGCACGATTCGATTCGATTCGATTAATTGGTTCATTCCTATTAAAACCTCATTAACTGAAAAATAATAATACCCTTGCATTATAGATTCTGCAAGCCCTTGCATCAAAAAATACTGCACTAAATCAGTGCAATGAGTGCAATGCAATACCTCGGCTCCAGACGTCCCCGCCCCCTCCACAGACACGCCGCTTCGCTTCTCCTAAATTTTAGCCGACCACAAACAGTGCCGCAGACAGGAGGCTGGCTTGTTTTGTTTTTATGACCGAAATTGCAGAAAACAACTCATGAAGTTTGACCCGCTAGAAGAGCGAGGTGCGTGAGAACGCTGGGACCCTTTTCCCACCTGGATCGCCGCTCTTTTTGGCCCTCATGTCCCTCCGCCATCAGACTAAACTCGCCCCCACTTCCTCACCTCCTCGGCCGTATCTAGACCCACAGTGTGTAGCTCAGACCACGCTTCAATATTGAGCATAAATCAAAAATGTCTTAGTCAAGCTCACTGCAACACACTGCTGTAAGAGTATAACCAGGAAGCGAGGTAGGAGGGCAAAATAGGTTTAGCGCCACCGCAGCACGGGAGGGAGAATTACGCCCAGGAGCAAATGGATAAAAATAGACTAGAGGGAAAAAAACATGAATCGATTATCTTGCGGACGTATCGCTGCATCGGATTGTCGGCTGTTGGATCGATGCATCGATACAAAACGATTATTATTTACACCCCTACTTACAGCCGTACATGTTTGAGCCCTTTCCTCACAACGCTGCCAGTTCTGTTAGCTCTACGCCTGCTGAAGACACAGACGTCCATCCCCATTGACACTGGGACGGAACTCAATGGGAAAGGAAATGATTTTTAATTCTTTTTTCAACTGTTGAGTATATTAGCTGCAACATATGAATCAAGATGCTGTGACCGAAAAAAATTTGATTGACAGATGACCATTGATATTTGATTCGCCGAATTTAGGTGTACAAGCTGACGTATAACTAACTGGCCTGCAGAAGATAACCAAAAAAAACCAACAAATTTTAGGACAGGATTTTTTAAAAACAGAAATATAATATCAATATCGTCTGATATAGAGTACATCTATATACATGTTTAAGCCAGAATGATTTTACATTTAAATATGATTTCCCTACAACTTTAAGTCAATGTCCTTGTTTCTCCCTATTTAGTCTAATCTAAGCAGCAATATCCCTGTGAGAGAAACAGGCCCACAGCATAACTTAAAAGTAACTTTAAACACAACTTGTGTCTTTTCAGCAGCAGAAATATGAGAGTATGTAAAGGAAAATAGGAATTTAGTCTCATTCATGAGGACTAAGACATAATTTTTGATTTTTAAATTACTCTCATAGCGATGAGTCTAAACTTACACATTTTTAGTTCTAGTACCAGCCTCTTGTTTGGTCAGCTTATCAGAAGATATAGCAAAAGAGAAGCCATTCTTTAGCCTAGCATCTAGTCTGAAGGTATCTAATGGAACAGTTAAAGTTCGTCTGGAGAAAAAGCTCTGATAGAGCTTTGATTTTAGCAGCTGAACCAAAGCAGGTCCAGTTTCCTGTTCTGACTCGGTTCTGGTAGGAAGGTTTCCACATGATGCGCCGTTTCCCCCATATGCTCACCTCGCCCACCAACATCTCATAGACGAGAACGCCGAGGCCCCACCAGTCGACTGCTCTGGTGTACGACGTGTCCGTCAGCACCTCAGGGGCCAGAAACTCAGGAGTGCCACAGAAAGTACTGGTTCTGTCTCCATAACCCATGCCTTGAAAAAAATAACAATCATTAAAGAAGAAGATTAAATCAAACAGAGCGACAACAGCAGCATCAGATTAGAGGCTTTAAACAAGAACAGCTCACTATTTAAGATTTTTGTTTTGTTTTAATCTGTTAAGGCACACATTAACTGAGATCATTATTATTTTTTTTTACTCAGATTATTATTATAATTTTTTTGTATTGGGGGGGGGGGGGGGGCTGGTTGACCTTTTGAACATCACATGGGTGACTCTGGAGCCACAAGCTACTCAATGGACTTTTAACTGATGACTAAAAATGAAAACTTTTTAATATAAATATAATAATGCATGTTTGAAATTCAATTAGATTTCCACCTTAGAATACTAAAAGTAACAGTAACACTTTTTAGAAATCTGTTTTTCTTGTCTTTAGCTTGAAAACTGTCCTTTCTTCCATTCTTTCTTCCAAAATATAAATTTTTTTCTCTTTAGCCCCTTTCACACCTTGACGATTTTTCCAGTGTATGCCTGATGTCCCAGAATCTTCTAAAACGTTGGCATACGTTGAACTTTCTATGTATTTTTTCAAATTTGGGCGTATACATAGCGTATTCATAACGAGTCCACAACTTATGTCCAATGACAGCCTAACTAATGCATGACTCACGGCAGCGTAATGCCCATGAAATGATGCACAAGCCAGTGTTCTTAGGGGGGCAGCGAAGCGCCAGGATTGCATAAAAAGATTTATTTGATTGCAGTATTAACCTAGATGCTGTTTACTGCCATAAAAAAAAGAATAAATAAAACGAAATAAGAAAAAGAAAGATAGGTTTGCAGTCGCAGCAGGTTTAGCACCATGTCTGCTAGGAAGTTTGTTGCTCATGGGCGTGAACGAAGGGAGGATCCATCAGACTCTCCTTCTCTTTCACCCTATCATGGGGATGAAGTCTGGAGGAGAACTGATGGTTTTCTCCTCTGAACCCCCTTTATACCAAAACGCTGCCAATAAACCATTATACAGTAGCTGAAAGTTAGAAACACGTTCAGCCGTCGTCTGGAACGCGTCAGATACGTTGATATGGGTTGGAAATAGTTCTTGATAAGTTACGCCTAAATTATGCATAAGTTACTCATATGTTTTGGATAAGCTAGACACCAAGACTTATGAGTGACTTACACTTTACGTATGTCAACAATCAAATAACTTACCTCATGGCCCACGTATGAGCATACGCTGGCATACATCTGCAAATTTTTAGCATGCGTACTCGCCGTATGTCAACGTGTGCCAGTGTATTTCAGGGTATTTCAGCGTGCTCATGACTTAGACAAAACCTACCCATAACTTATCCAACTTATGCCAACGTTTTCGTCTGATTTTTCCTACGTCGGGCATACGCTGGTCTAAATCGTTAAGGTGTGACTGGAGCTTTTGCAGAGATGTTTTCTATATTGTTTTAAAGCTACAAATAATAACATTATGGTGCTTAGAAATGACAGATACCTTTAGGCCAAAGTGCCTCTTTAGAATGCAGACTTCTGCTCTAGGATTTGTTTGTGAACAAAGATCCAAGGCAAGTGATAAAATGTGGAAGGGCTTACCCTCTTTACAGAGCCCGAAGTCAGCTATCTTCACAAAACCCTCCGTATCCAGGAGCAGGTTATCCAGCTTCAGATCCCTGATAAAGAAAGCAGGATTACATCTAAGGTAAGGACATGCTTCAGCTCCCCCATGCATGCAGTGTGTCATCCAAGTACTCACCGGTATACAATCTTATGGTCATGGAGGAACTGCAGACCCAGGACTACGCAGGCTGAGTAGAACCTGTTCATTACACCAAAGGAGGCAGACAGTCTCGTAAATCATCTCTACTTTATTCCAATTCTTCCGTTAATCCTGGAAGAAGCACTCACACAGCCCGCGGCTCGGCGAACACGTCAGCATGTATGTGCATCATCAGGTCTCCTCCCGCCGTGTACTCCATGACGAAGCACACGTGTTCCGGCGTCTGGAAACATGCAAACAGGTTGACCAGGAAAGGGTGGTGGGAGCTGTTGACAGTCTCGAAGATCCGCTTCTCACACATCAGACTGGAGGCGGAGGGGAGGGGCCAGAGAGCCAGGTGAATAGGGGGCTTTGATGCAGCAGAAGTGTGGCGTTAATCATCATTAAACATAGTTACCTTTCTACCTCGTCCCTTGCTACAATATCTCCTTTCTTCAGGGCTTTGATGGCGTACTGGCTGCCGGTTTTTTTATACTCTGACAGCAACACCTGAAGAGAGCAGGTCAAGATAAGTAGAATGAAACTCCAATGAGACGATGTGATGCAGACTTTGAAGGAAGATGCGTGAGACTGGGGCCCATACCTTCCCAAAGTGGCCCCTGCCGAGAACAGCAATCAGCTTGAAGTCCTGTAGACACAGACACAGAGGGCCTCTGCTGGTTCTGGGAGAAACATGAAACAGATTTCCATTAATATGTCCATCATGTTTTTTGTAAGAGACTGTAAGCAGCGTTCACACATTCATTACATTAAATATCTATACTGGATCACAGCAGTCAGTCGCTTTAACTATAGAAGCAGCAGAGGTGAACAATCCAGGTTAAACTTTAAAAAGCCTGTTAATACATTGGTTCCAACTATTCGCATTTCCAGCCTCATAACAGGAAGAAAAATGAACAGGACAAAGGAAAAGAACATCAATGGATGGATGGATGGATGGATGGATGGATGGATGGATGGATGGATGGATGGATGGATGGATGGATGGATGATTAATGG